CTGGATGTCCTGATAATTTAGCTGTCTGGAACTTAAGGCCAAGAGGAGGACAGAGATTTTTGTCTCTTTGGTTGATAGCACCTAAAACAGTAACTGGTACATAGAAAGTGCCCAATCAATATTAAAAGGATGAACTGATATTAAGGGAAATGTGAATTTATCTTGCAGCCACCGCCTGGAGCTCTGGAAGCTGGTTTCCATTTGTTTTCATTAATATATTTAGCTCAAGATTTGATTGGTTTGCAATCACTGACCATAAGGGAAAGCAACCTCCATTCTTTCAGAGGAAAAGAAAAGTAGATTGAGAGTATAATATTTGCTGGCTAAAATTCACTCCTGCAAACATCACACTTTGGTTTGCCTAGTTCTCTAGAATCAGCACTGGGTGGATATCTTCCAGGCTATGTATGAGAAAAGTAAAAAAGAGTACATCATGGGGTCTATTTTGAAGCAACGTAGCAAATAAAGCAGAGACAAGGTTTTACTGTGATCTGACACCTGAGACACAAATGACCAATGCTTCACTGGTAGGTAGGCTTCGCCACTTTCCCTGCCACATCATAACCTCAGATTTCCTTTATCTTGAATTTGAACTAACAGGGCCTACCAGATGAAACACTAGACTCAGTCCTTGGTGAGGATAAACCACTCAGACTCCACCCCACAATTCCATCAATATTAATAGTTATAATTGGTATTATGACTTAAGTATGTAATTAGAGCCATGTGCATTTCCTCAATTTTCACATTTTATCCTTAGAACAGACATGGGGTGCATCTACCTTGTTTACTTTAATCCTCTTCTGAGATCCATGATCACCCAGAAATAGGTCCTGTATTCATGTCACTGCTACATGACTCCACTTCCCTGGTCACAACTGATTGGAGGAAGGGATGGTCAGCTCAGCGAAAAAGGGCTAATCAGATTCTATGTCCTGTGTGTTTGGAATTGGGACCGAGGGGCAGTCACTTGAACACGCGAGTTATAAAATGTTACGGATTTGACACCAAAAGCAAAACAACAAAAGCAAAAATAAACAAGTGGGACAACATCAAATTAAAAAGCTTCTGCACAGCAAAGGAAACCATCAACAGAATGAAAAGACAACCTAGTGAAAGGGAGAAAATATTTGCAAATCATAAATCTGATAAAGGGCTAATGCCCAAAATACATAAAGAACTCATACAACTCAATAGCAAAAGATAAAAACTAAAAACAATTAAAAAAAAATTTTTTTTAACGTTTATTTATTTTTGAGACAGAGAGAGACAGAGCATGAACAGGGGAGGAGCAGAGAGAGAGGGAGACACAGAATCCGAAACAGGCTCCAGGCTCTGAGCTGTCAGCACAGAGCCCGACGTGGGACTCGAACTCACGGACCGTGAGATCATGACCTGAGCCGAAGTTGGACGCTTAACCGACCAAGCCACCCAGGCGCCCCTAAAAACAATTTTTTAATCCGATTAAAAAAATGGGAAGAACATCTTGTGTATAGACATTTTTCCGAAGAAGACATACAGATGACCAGCAGATATATGAAAAGGTGCTCAACATCCCTAGTCATCAGGAAAATGTGAATCACAACCCCAAGGAGGTATTCCTTCACATCTGTTAGAGTGGCTATCATCAAGCACACAAGAAAAAGCAAGTGTGGGTGAGGATGTGGAGAAAAGGAAACATGTATGCATTCTTGGTGGCAATGTATATTGGTGCAGCTACAACGGAAAACAGTATGGAGGTTCCTCAAAAAATTAAAAGTAGAACTACCATGTGATCCAGCGATTCCATTTCTGAGCATTTTTTCAAAAAAAATGAAAACACTAACTCAAAAATATAAATGCACCATGTTTATTGCAACACTGTTTGCATTTACCAAAACAAGGAAGGAACCTAAGCAACTATCAGTGCATGAATGTTTAAAGAAAATGTGTTGTCCATGCATGTGTGTGTGCGCACGAGCATACACACACACACACACACACACACACACACACACACACACACACACAGTGAAATATTATGTAGCCACGAAAAGAAGGAAATCTTTCTGTTTGCAACAACATGGATGGACCTGGAGGACACTATTATGCTGAATCATATTACATCAGCTATTCTGACTTATGAAATAAGTCAGACAAAGACAAACACTGCAGGATCTCACTTATATGTGCAATCTGAAAACAAATCAACCAACCAACAAAAACAAACAGCAACAAAAATCCAAACTCCTAGTACAGTGAACCACCTCTGGTGGTTGCCAGAGGTGAGGGATGTTGGGTGGGTGAAAAGAGTGAAGGTGGTCAACAGGTACAAACTTCCAATTATAAAATAAATAAGGCATGATGACTTTAATGAATAACATTGTATATTTGAACGTTGCTGAGGGAGTAGATCTTGAAAGTTCTCATTACAAGAAAAAAAATCGGTAACTGTGTCGTGGATGTTGACTAGACTGTGGTGATGATTGCACAATATATACCAAATTAATCATTAGGTTGTACACCTGCAACTAATACAACATTATAGGTCAATTATATCTCAATAAAAGTAAAGATTACAAAATAAAAGAGCTATGGAGTGATCTTTCTCATGTGTAGGAAAGATGAGAAATGGAGAAAGTAGTACTTATGTATGAGTTTACCAGATTTGTTCTAGACCTACTGAAATTTATGTGCCGTTGAGGTCCATGAAATACCTTAATATCCTTCCAAAAAATATTTTTTTGTTGCATGAGCTAGTTCACATTGCATTTGCTTCCTGTATCAAATCTGTTTTACCCACAGGGACATCGGGAAACTGAGTAACTTGCACAGGGCCATTGGGTTACAAAGAGGCAGTAGAGCTGAGATTTAATCAACATCATATTGACTCTTGAGCCTATCATTTATCCCATACTGCCACTATTAGGAAGAGTTTCCCCTTCTCAGCTCACTTAGGAGGCTCACACTCCTTAGTGTTAATTGTGGCCACGTGACTTGCTTTGGTGGAAGAAACATAATCAGAAGTGACATGATTCATTCTTAGTGGAGAGATTGGTTGCCAGAGCTTCCCTATCCACTCCATTTCTGCTTCAGCAGCCCTGAAAGCATCACATGTGGAGGATCCAGAAGATCAAAGATGCATCCACCACTTAGCCAACACACAGAGGACACTCTGGGAAGCCACCTCAACTGACAGTGGACTTCTTATGAGAATGAAATAAACTTGTGTTGTTTCAGGCCACCGAGATTTTAGAGTTGTCTGATTATGCAGCAAAACTTGTCTTATCATATATTCAATGGACTACACCTTACACCTTATTCTCCAGGCCTTCTCTTGATTTCATGTCAAATCAACTCCAACTTCCCCTTGTCTTAGAGCTTTTATTTCAGTTACATAGGACTGCATAACAAGCTACTCCAAAACTTAAAACAGTAATGATTTCTTACTTCTCATGATTCTGTGGGTTGACGGGGCTTAGCTGCAGGGTTCATCTACTTCACATGGGATAACAGAAGGTCACTTATGCGGCTGCATTTGGTGAGGAGCGTGGCCGGGACTGGAATGTGCGAGACAGACGTTCATCCTGGGGAACCTCTTTCCGTACAGCCTCTCACTATTCAGAAGTCTAGCCCAAGCCTCTTTACAATGTAGAGTTTCTAAGACCACATGTTCCCATTTGCAAGTGCTTATCAGGCCTCTGCTTTCATCACATTTGCTACTATCTCATTGGCTGAAACAAGTCACATGGCCAAGCCCAGAGTCAATGTAGATGGGACTGTACCAGGGTGTGAATTCCAGAAGTCATGGCTCTTTGGGGACTTTCAGTGTAACCATCTATAACAGCCATTAATTAAGCATTAACGTCGAGTCGTCAGTTTTAAAAGTGTTTCCACATTTACTATCTCATTTTGTTTAACAACAACCCTTGAGGAATAAATATATGCCACGCCTATTTTACAAAGAAAGGGACTAGGGCTCAGAAATCTGGACACCTAAAATCACACAACTAGTAAATGGGAGAATTAAGACTTGACCTCAGGTCTTATTACTGCAAGTGCTGTGTTTTCTGTCATCTCACAGCTACCTCTGGCTAGCACGACCAGTGATAGCTAGCTATGATTTCCATGTTTGATCTTTCCAGGTTTTTATTTTATTTATTTTATTTATTTATTTATTTTTTAATGTTTATTTATTTTTGAGACAGAGAGAGAGCATGAGCAGGGGAGGGGCAGAGAGAGAGGAGACACAGAATCCGAAGCAGGCTCCAGGCTCTGAGCTGTCAGCACAGAGCCCAACGCGGGGCTTGAACTCACGAACTGTGAGATCATGACCTGAGCCGAAGTCGGACGCTTAACCGACTGAGCCACCCAGGCGCCCCTGATCTTTCCAGGTTTTTGAATTTTGCTGGCAAATAAACAAACTCATCCATTTTTCCAAATACTTTTTCCAGAGTTTAGGTTGTTGTTGTTGTTGTTGTTGTTGTTTAACTATGTGGAGGGAAATGTACCCAATTCTCAAAGACTTTGATGTATTGAAACCCAGAATTGCTAGCAATGTTTGCTTATTGTAGAGCAAGCCCCAACTAAGCCAGGGTGGTTACTGGGAAGCACCCACATTACACCAAACCTTGAAAGGGGACTTATTTAGACTTCATAATGCCCAAAGTTTCTTCTGAGGAACAGAGATTCTTTTCTGCACCCTAGCCCTATGATGAAGAGTTTCAGCCCCAAACTGCCAGATCCAATTCCTTAAGTCATTTACACTTCTGTGCAAATGTCAGTACTAATAGATCACAACCAGGGAAGGGGGGTTTGGGGGGGAGTTGAGTTGGAGGCTTATAAAATTGAGAAAGCATCCATAATTATTCTCATCACTGCTTTGCAATCACTGGATGCTAGAGAATAAATCACAAGGAGATGAAAATCAGGACTGGCTCAGAAGCACTACCTATGGCTGTTGCCATGGTCGTCAGTGGTGGTGGAACAGACATCCAGAGGAACCACAGTTCTGCTGCCCATTATGAGCTGAAATCAGGTGCCAGGCCCTCCCTGGGTGAGGCGCTCTGCCGAGGAACACCCTCCACAGTGTCCTGTTGTCTGGTTCCATACTCTTGGCCTCCAGCCTCCAGATGACACTTTTCATTAGGAACCTTGGTTGGCCGGGCCTTTGGCGCATTCCCTTCACTTTCCTTGTCACTTTCCTGGTATGGAGAGAAAGAAGGAAAACTTTACCTGTAAACCAAATACCTTTGAACTCCCCCTCTTACAGAACACCCCTGAAAGAACCTTCTTTCTTTAAGCAATGTCAGGCTTCACGTTCAACCAACTTCTGCGACCCATCTCATGACACTCTAGCTTCACACAAGAAAGGCAAACACGAAGCATCATGGAGTGAAATTGTGCATGGCTACCAGGTGGGAAAATGCCTCGTACGGAGCTGAAGTGCAAGCAACCAACCTTCCCACGTCAGGGCTCTTGGTGTCTTCCATCAGGATGTCACATACCTTATTTTGTGTCCTGTAGTACTCATTTAACACGTACTGATATTTGGGTTGAGTAAGACCAAAGAAGGTAGCAAATCTTCCACCAAGAAATTCACATGCTGAAAGAAAGAACAGGCACCTTGGTAAGCTGAACTGATGACTAAAACTTAACAGTCATTTGAAGTGAAGAGTTTAAACTTGCCTGCCGGTGATCCATTACCACACTTAACTTTAAGGCTGACAAAAGATTTCAATTGCTCTGGACTCTCAGAAAGTTCCAGGACTCACAAGTAATTGTTAAATCTTCTGTCTCCCCATGGGATTACATCTAAACAACCCTTTCCAGATGGGTATGTCAGGAGAGATTTTCAAAATACCTACTTCCAGGTACAGCATTGGTCCTAAGCAATCAGAATAGATGCTTTGGTTGTGAAAGTTGGGGGTCAAGGTTTAGCATTAACAGCGGTTTCCTGACGGGGTCTCCTAGACACCTAGAAATGTTTTCCTTTAGAATTATAGGATTTCTGACACCCCACCCCCCACGACCCCACTTTCTGATCCCTAAGGCTTTTCCTCTTCTTGGGATGTTGCTCATATAGTACATCAAAATGGTGCTCTCCATTTTTTAAAATGTGTTTTATCTTTTCAAAAATACTCTAGCTCCTTAATCTGTTTGTTTGCCACAGTGCCTGGTACATGTATATAAGAGGAGTTTCTAAAGTATTAGAATAAATCTTAGGAGGCGTTCCTGCTTATGACCTACTAGAATTTTACCTTGAAAACACTAGTTACGGTTTCATGTGGGTGTCAGCTCTATCCAGAGTTCCTGTGTAGAGACCAGGGTGCTGACTGCTAGCATTTGTATGCCTCCCCTACAACCTGGAAGCCCCAAGCAGATGCACTTCAACGCTACAGTCCTGCTTGGAACCTTGAAGGCAGCGTGATTCCCCACATGTCCTGTCCCTACCATCCTAAGTCACAGCCCAACATGGAAATCACTACAGTCCCTGTTCTCCTTTACATTCTCATAAGGCTGTATTGAGTTTTGCTTCTTTTACCTCACCTAATCTTCTAGGGTGTTCTCCCTCCAAAATATTTCACCTCTTTAAACAATCTTGTCCCAACTAAACACATAGAGCTCTCTAGAAGACAGCATTTTTTTCTGCCAGTGTACTATGGTTGAGGTAAGATTGGTATCTCACCTGGGTTCCCAAAGGAACTTACAAATCCCTAACCCTGTATCCTGATGTAAAAGCACTTGCTCCTCTGCGGCTCATACCATCTGACTAAATCACCCCATCATTACTTTTTACTGTAGTTTAAAGACTTCCCTCCCCTCCCCTACCCCCAGTGACTGTTGTGGTCCCTAAGCTGACCTTAGCCATACTTTCATAGCACTCTCAAGTCATATATCCACATTACTCATTACTAAGTCTTTTCATCGGTGGTCCCTATGCTCCTTCTAGCCCGGCGGTTGTGACAACAAATTGTAATTAAAGGCATGTTTACTAGCCTATAATATCTATTGAATATGGAGTCCCTTGAAAGCAAAGCCTGTCATTTGTCTTTGTGTCCCAGGGACCCACACAGTGCCAAACACACATTGGCACTCAATAAATGTTTACTTAATGAATGAATGAAGATCAATTCCTCAGAGCTATGGCTATACTTCGTATTTTCTTGAATTTTAATTTTTGTATTTTTTTAAAGTTGTTTCCTTCCTGCTGTACATACAAGAATACGCAAATTAGAGGGGCGCCTGGGTGGCTCAGTCGGTTAAGCATCTGACTTCAGCTCAGGTCACGATCTCGCGGTCCGTGAGTTTGAGCCCCACGTCGGGCTCTGGGCTGATGGCTCAGAGCCTGGAGCCTGCTTCCGATTCTGTGTCTCCCTCTCTCTCTGCCCCTCCCCTGTTCATGCTCTGTCTCTCTCTGTCTCAAAAAAATAAACGTTAAAAAAAAATTAAAAAAAAAAAGAATACGCAAATTAGAAGGAAATGAGAAGGGGCGCCTGGGTGGCTCAGTCACTTGGGCGTCTGACTTCAGCTCAGGTCATGATCTCACAGCTTGTGGGTTCGAGCCCCGTGTCACACTCTGTGCTGACAGCTCAGAGCCTGGAGCCTGTTTCAGATTCTGTGTCCCTCTCTTGTTCTGCCCCTCACCCACTCATGCTCTCTCTCTCTCTTAAGAATAAATAAAACATTTTAAAAAATTTAGAAGGAAATGAGTAATTAGATGTTGCCAATTGTGTTTTAAAGAAAATTGGTGAAAGTCGAGCAAAATAAGATTCAGTGTTTCATCTGTTATAAATAGCTGCTTAGGCCATTCACTTTGTCCCTGAGAAGGGTCCATAAAGTCCTTGTTCATAACAGAGTCATTATGATGAAGGAACTTGGAACTGTGTCATATAAAAATAGTTTTAAAAAAACCTTGGAAGTTTATTCAGGTGAAGAGTCACCTTAGGGATGGGGGAGGCTATTGTCTTCGAATATTTGAAGCTCTGTCCTATGAAAGAGGAATCTAGACTTGTTTTATATGACCTTAAGAAAGACAACTAAGATCAATGGAAATAACTTTAAAAGAAGACAAAATATAAGGTAGAATTTACTAAAAAGAGTTGGAAAGAGATGGAAGGGTCTGCCTGAAGATGTGAGGTTCTACACCTTTGGGAATGTTCAAGCATAGATCAAGAAAGGACTAGGTTGTCCCTTATTCTGGATGCCAGGGAGTGGATTAAACTACTGGAAGGCCCAACGAACACTGAGGGCCTATAAGTCTACATCTTGTATTTAGGACTAAATAAATAAATAAATAAATAACCTTGGCAGTACTTACTAGAAAATGAGGTGCTTGCTATTTGCCCTGCCCAAAACCATAGGTACGACTGCCATGAGAGTTTAGACTGAAAAAAAGAAAGAAATCAAGTTAGAGTAATTAATAACAAGAGTAGTGATGCAGGTGTTTCATGTAGAGATTTCAAAATGCTTTATAGCATATTACATTTTCTTTCTCACACATGAGAAATGTAAAGTTATCAAAACTATGAGTTGACTATAAACTCCAGGAAGTAAGACAAGGGGAACAAGGAGTTAGCTTAAAACTGTATTTTCTACAAACCTTGTTTGGCTTAATCTCTTATTCATTAAGCCCCCATGTTACTAATATTGACACTCTAAGCTTACAGGATCATGTGTTGAATTTGTTTTCTGTTCCTTTTTTTCTTCCTCTTCCTCCTCCTCGGTGCTATATTCTTCCATGATGTCTCCATCAACAAAATGGATAATTCTTTTGGGAGTAGTTCTTTTGGAAGACCTACTTTTCTCTAATTCTGACTTCTGGAAACTGTTTTTTTCCATAAGGAAATAAAACAACTAGTGAATTTAAAACAGGGCACCTTCAGGCCAGTTGCCCAGGGCAGTGTTTATATAGCTGAGAGGTGTCTAGTTATTTTCAATGGATGGTAAAGCTAGAGAATTCAGATGTAAACGTAGCTGCGATCTCATCAATTCTTCAAATCCAAGGAAGGACTGTTCAGTTCTGTACCAAAATGGAAAAAAAAATGTAATTAGTAGTAAAAATGTGAACTTTGAGTCTTCAAACAAAAATTTAAACAGTTCCCTTACCTCTTATTCATTACAAAACCAACAAATACTAGTAGAGAGAGGCCACTAAGGTGTGGAAGTTTCCCAATTATTTCAATAAAGAGTGAGAGGCAATGTAAGTAGTGATTAAGAGTGCAGGCTTTGCACAGAGAAGAACAAATTTGTCAAGTATATCCTGGTAAAGGACTTATTTTCAGAATATGTAAAGAGCAATTACAATTCAATAAGTAAAAGACAAGCAACTCAACTGAAATGTGGGCGAGGGATTTGAACAGATACTTTATCAAATAAGATTTACAGGTGCCAACTAAACTTAGGAAAAGATGCTCAATGTCATTAGTCATTAGGAAAATGCAAATTGAAACCATCATGAGATATCACCCTCACTAGAAGGCTAAAATTTAAAGGACTGAGGAATAAATGGAGCAGCTAGAACTCTCACGTTGCTGGTGGGGATGCAAAATGGTACAGCCACTTTGGAAAACAGTTTGGCAGTTTCTTAAAAGTTAAACAGGTTCTTACCATATAGTTTTGTTCTGGGACCCAATTCCATGCTGGGGGGTGGGCAGAGATTTCCCCCACCAACAAGCAATTCTCAAATTGTCAGGACACCAGCTGGATGTCCTACAATTCAACTCGATTCTGACACTACCCACCCACCTCTTCCCTTTCTTCAGAGGCCAATCACAAGCCCAGGTTGTTATTTGTACTTCTGACCTACTGGCTATAAATCAGAGGTTCCCACAACCCCCACTTTGAGTTAGATTAATTTGCTAGAGCAACTCGGGAAGTCTGTTTACTCACTAGATTATCAGTTTATTATAAAAGGATAGAATTTGGGGCGCCTGGGTGGCTGACTTGGTTAGGCGTCTGACTTCAGCTCAGGTTGTGATCTCATGGCTGGTGATTTCGAGCCCCGCTTCAGGCTTTGTGATGACAGCTCAGAGCCTGGAACCTGCTTCAGATTCTGTCTCCCTCTCTGTCTCTGCCCCTCCCCTGGTCTCTCCGTCTCAAAAATAAATAAACAACAACAACAAAGGGTATAACTTAGGAAGAGCCAGATGGAAGAGGTGCACAGGGCAGGGTATAGGGAAAGGGCACAGTGCTTCTGTGTGTCCCCCGAGCACAACACGCTCTCTGAAGTTCCACGTGTCCACCAACCTGGGAGCTCTCCTCCCACGCTGTTTTGTTTGTTTGTTTTGGAGGCTTCTTCACCGACGTCTGGCTGATTAAATCATTAGCCGTTGGGCACTGGTGATGAATTCAACCTCCAGCCCCTGGGGGATGTCAGGAAGTGGGAAGGAAATCACCTAATCACAGGGTTGGTTCTTGCAAGTCACCTCATTAACATGATAAAAGACACTTGGTCCTCTCAACAGTTAGGAAATTCCGAAGGTTTTAGAAGCCCTGGGCTAGAAATGGGAAGACCACATATATAGTTATTAAAAATCACAGTATCACACATCTAGATGTTTACCCAAGAGAAATGAAAACATTTCCATCTAAAGATTTGTATGTGAATATTTATAGCAGCTTTATTTGTAAGAGCCCCAAACTGAAAACAATCAAAATGTCCATTAATGAATAAACCAAATGTGATACATTTGTTCAGTGAAATACTATTTAGTGATTAAAGTATTGGACACTTATATTTTTATTTATTTGTTTATTTTGAGAGAGAGAGAGAAAAGGGGAGGGGCAGAGAGAGAGGGAGACTGAGAATCCCAAGCAGGCTCTGCACTGTCAGTGCTGGGCTCGATGCAGGATTCCATCCCACGAACCATGAGACTGTAAGGTTTAAATTGTAGTGTAGGGCTAATGCTTAGCTTGAAAAATAACAGCTTTGTGTTGACACTGAAGGTTAAGAGATAACAGCCTTGCTTTGCTCTGGTAAACTAGGCCTCATACCCTTGTAAATTAGGCTTCACCAATTAAGGAAACAAAAGTTCAAAGAAAAGAGTGTCAGAGGCAGGGTCAAGGAGATCCACTGGTTGCAACTTAGAGGCAGAAAGTCTAAAGTAAACACCTCATTAGGCAACTGTTTCTAACTCATCTGGAACCTGTTTCTTTGTTCTGTTCCCAGGTGATGATAAAACGATGTGATCGGTTATAAAAACTCTGTACCCCGGCTGTTCGGGGCCGCACTCTTGTCAAGAGTGTTGGTCCCGATCGGTCGGCCTTGCCTCTCATTGTAATAAACTTTGTTGTGACTGTCACTGGTGCCCGTAGCATTCTGTTTCAGGAGTCGTGTGGATGCAACAAGACCATGACCTGGGCCGAAACCAAGAGTCAGTTGCTTAACCAACTGAGCCATCCAAGTGCCCCTTTGGACATTAATATTTGCAACACTATGAATGAATCCCCAAAACATCACGCTAAGTGAAAGAAGCCAGACACTCTATATTAAATGATTACGTTTATATAACATTTTAGAAAAGGCAAAATTATAGTTGTAGAAAACAGATGAGTGTTTGCTGGGGTGGATGGGGGGAGAGATAACTACAAAGGGACAAAAGGGAACTTTCTCGGGCAATAGAAATGTTCTAACAGATATCATGATTGTAGCAGCGGTTACTCAACTATACATTTGTCAAATCAAATTCTACACTTAATGATGAACTTTTGGGGTGATGGGGTGGTCTGTGGGGTCTGGAGCCGATGGCCAAGAAATAATTCTTGAAGACGTCTCTGGTGCAAAAAGGTGATTTTATTAAAGTATGGGGACAGGACCATGGGCAGGAAGAGCTGCACTGGGGTCATGACGGGTAACTCATTATATACCCTCAGGTTGGGAGGGGATCAGGGATAGATTAAATCTCTAAGGAATTTTGGAAGCAAGGTTTCCAGGACCTTCAGGGGCTAGCTGTTGCTAGGGAAACACCATTTATCACTGTTTAATAAAACTTTAGTCCTGAGACCCTTCAGATACATATCAGGGGCCATAAACTTGGAGCATGATTGCCAGGATATATCTTGGGGCAGTTGACATAAAGGAAGTAGACTTATGGGGGAGGTGTAAGCCAAGGTTCTCGTTTGCAAAGTGTCATCCTTGAGGCCTCTGAGCTCCTAGAGGGAGATCACTCTGCTGGTCTCAAGGATTTATCAATGGGCTGTAGGCAGTAAGGGAATTTCATTTCTCATTTGCCTTAGTTTCCCACATCACCATGGCAAGCAATTAAACCCCTTTCCTTTGTTCTTGGGTAGCCAGGCAGGTCAGAGGAATATCACACATATTCCAACGGGGGGTGGGGGGGGGGCAGCCTGTATTTTGTCCTCAGCCTGCCTCTTGCTCCCCCATCAGTTAACACTGGTTAATATCTCAATAAATCTCACCAGTTTGGGAGCCAGCCTGCCTAGGTTTAATATCCCATTACTTACTATCTCTGGGTCTTGGTTTCCTTATCTCTAAAATAAGAATGATACAGTTTGAGCATATCTTTGAATATAGTACCAACCTTATAAAATGAGAATTAAACGAGGAAAGACACAGCAAGGAGTTAGAACAATTCTTAGCAAATATCAAGTGTCTAATAAAAGCTAGGTATTATTAAGTACCTATCACTTCCGTAACAGTGTACATGTTCTAATGTGGTAAGCACACTGTTGTCTTAATGAGTACTTAATATATTTGAAGATTATGTCAGCAAATGTGGCAGACTGAGTTGAGGTGAAAGTCCTCTTCCTGTTCCAAATTCACAGAAATGCTGGATAAAATTAAACAAAATACTAAACCAAGCTGTGAGAAGAAAAGCTAGCAAAAACGAGTATCCGTGCCCAAGGCTGGATACTCCCCTTGCATACTTTTGTCTTCCGTAATCTTGTCTGCCTTCTCCACCAACTACCTGTGTAGCATCACTGGTAAAGGCCCCCTCCCCTGTTTCTTTGCTCTCTCAATCCCCTACCATCCCAGCCATGAAAGGAGTCCCATGTCAAGGTTCGGGGCTCAGCCTTTGGCGGTGACTCCGCTGGGCCGGCACCGGTGTGCAATGAACAGCCTTTTCCGATTCCCGGAGTGCACATGGCTGGTCTCTTCCTGGGCACCGAGTATTTGCTGTAACAGCTGGACTGAGGATGTAAGAGAGGCAGAGAGACTGGAAGGAAGCCTAGGTATCAGCAAAAGAAGGAAAACTGAAAATCCTAGGGGTGAGCTAAAGCTGGGATGGTTGCTGAGGGTTTCAGAACTGGATACAGACCTTGGGGCTAAAGGTTTAACACTGGTGCAGAGAGGAGAGCCCAAATCACAGACCCTGCGTATATGAGGAGCCAGCCGAAGTGAAATACCTGAGTAAGACTAAGATAAATAAATTACAATCGTAATCTGTAAATTATGGACTGGAAAAAGTGCCTACTGGCTTATCAAAGTGGAAAAACAATTTGTCATCTCCTGGCAACATGGGTAGAAACAGTCACTGAAAAATACTGGAACCCCAGGTCAGTACCAAATGCTGGGTGTGGCCAGATTCAGAGTGCTCAGGTGGGGTGAGGCCCGGCAGTGAAGCTTCGGGACCCACAGCTGCCGGAAGCAAGCACAAAGCCACCTGAGAGGGAAGCTTCAAGAAGATAAGGTCCACGGGATCTGCACCAAAAACACCCCCTGCTGAGGATGCCATGGCAAAAACTTACAAATCCCAGGAAGAAACCAACCCTCCTGAGGACGTTACCAAGTTGTCACCCAAGAGTCGGGAGTAATAGAGCAACACAGAACTTTACAATGATTATGGTTAATATATTCAAAGAGATAAAGGAAGCAAGAC